GCCTGATTGCTTACTATTCTGTATGTTGGAAAGCCATTTACACAGAAGAAGATCAAAACTGCTGCCGCGTATTTTACCCCTTGCACAATTATGGAATCAGGTAGCTGGAGTCTAGATTACAATTTCCACCCAAAATAATTTCCATTTTATAATAATTTTAAGGGGAGATCTGTTTTGCAGGATAATGTACTTGCATAGTAATTTTCATGTAAAATAATGCAAGACTAACTACAGAGACAGCTTTTCATGCTGTTCTTGAAAGCTGCTATTTGCATTTCTATTATTTCATGTGATGGAAAGTGTTTACATGGTATTTAAAAATTTGGGATTGATGAACTCCTAAACATACCTATGGAGTTTGAGCAAAATATTTCCTCAGGAAGAAGGAGCTTAATTGTAAAATACTCCTTAAAATTTATGAAGTATTAAACAGAGAACTAAATGAAGCTGAAATAATTCAGACACTATCTAATAGTAAATCAAGCCTCCTGGTAGTTTTCTGATCATAAGAAAGTGTTTTCAAACTGACATTAAAACTGGAAATTTCCAAGATGCTTGATTAGAGAATGGTGTTCAATAGCAGCTCTTTTCTTTCATTTCTATGAAAATACAGTATCTAACATCTAAACAAGACGGTATCTTCTTGTCTAGAATTAAGGAGTAGATCTGAGGCTTTCCAGGGGTAAAACGATGTTGAAATTTCAGAACTACAATATAAAGCTCAAACAGAGCAGAACTTGTTCTGCACAGAGTTGAGCATATTGGTGAAGTTGTGTTGCTCCAAGAGTAAGGACCAGAGTTTCTTCATGAGCCTCCTATTAATCCTCTTTAGCTTCAGTTAGATAAGTTATAACCCTTTTCCTGTTATGACATTAGGCTGCTAGAGTCTCTGGATTTTTTTTTTTAATGTCGTATATCTGCATTAGAAATGGCGAACCTTCAAAAAGGAACCTGTTTTTATGTGTGTAAAATATCTCTCAGTGTTTCATGCTTCTCAGCTTCTAACTGGAATTATGTGAGAACCAATCCTTTCACCCTGGTGCAGGAACTGTAGTTGTGTAGAGGTGGGAGGAATGGGGTTTGATTAAAATTGATGCTGAGATAAGAGCACTGTTTTTGCATATTTAGGTCTGTGCTGATTCAGCAGGGAATTAATTAATGATTTGGTGCTCAGCTGTTTCCATCTGCTCTGATGAGCTTGCTGGGAAGCACTCCATGGAACAACCAGCTCTGGGTTGTGTCAGGAAAGCGATGGGAGTATGGGCGGTAGAGCCCAGCTGCAGGGAAAAGGGCAGTGAATGGGTTCAGGTGTAGCTGTGGTTGAAGAGGCAGAAAGGAGACTGCAGGGAGGCCCAGGGGCGGTAGAGAAGACAGGACAGATAAATCTTTAGGTTAAAGTAGGGTCGCAGGGAAGGAGGGGAAAACAGCTAAATATAGACTGTCACCTCCAATTTTTAACAGGGTTCAAGAACGAAGCTTAGCATTAACATTTTTGGGAGAATTTCCAGTGCACAAATAGTGACGTTTCTGAGCCAAGTGATAAGATTATATTTTAAGGCTCATGAGGAGTAAAACTAAGTTTTATCATAGATACTGGTCATGTTGTTAATCATAGGATGGGTTGTGTATTTCTGCAGCCATGACCATCTGTAATCGGCTCGGTGAGGTGTCTTAACTTTATATGTACCTGGAGTAACTGCACAGCTTGCCTGAAGCCACTGAGCTGCATTCATGTTCACTCATGGAAGGTTTTGCCTGTACCTTGAGACAAACGTGAATTCGGTTGCACAGGATGCCCTGCCATTTTCAGTTTGCTTCTTTTAGTCACTGAGAGAGCCAGTGTCTATTTGTCGAAGTCATTTAAATCATTGCTTAAATCATTCAGAAGTCCTGCTTATGTACAAATACTTTTTAACATGTTGCATACATTAACTATTCATACTTCACAGCATCACCTTAAGACTGCCACAAAGCGTTACTGTCTATTGCTCTCATTTTGTCAGGAGTTTAGGTGGTTTGTCCAAAACCTCAGAAGGAATTAATACAATTTGCAGAAACAGGTCTCAAGAGTATCTGTGAACCAGAAGCCTGATTTCAGTTTCTGCAGGCATCTTCTTCTCTCTGCCGGCTTCTTCCTTATATTTGGCGTGCTAGTCTCTAAGTCTGTTAACCAAGAGATACGTTTTCAAATGGATATTTCCAAATATGTTTCATTTGTCCTTTTGAGATAATATATGCTGTCATGCAACCTCATAGGACATAATGTTTTGTTCAAACAAAGCATTTACACAAACACTGTAACTTTCTTGGCTACCTTTCAGGCTTGATTTATAGGTGCAGTGACTTAACAACGAAAAGTGGCAGCATTGCTTGTGGAATGGAAGATCAGAGGCAGAAGTGGCGGGGGGGTGTGTGTAACATTGGTAGATAAGGTGAAGGAGGCTATGGAACACGATTAAGTAAGTGAAATCAAAGTAATACTTTCATGAGACGGGAGAACCGTGACTACCTAGGTTTCCCCCCAAGAGTGCAGGCTTTCATCTGACACCTCATAAAAATCCAGTGCTCAGTATAGAAGGACAAAGCACCCATGGACAGGCTAATGTCTTTCTATAGGTATAGGTGGCAGACAGAATCAGGAGAGATCAGCAAGTCCTGAGGAAATAAGCAGCTAACATCTGAAGCTATGGAAGGAAAGGGAGTAGAGACCTGCAAAGAGAAGTCAATACTATCAGAGCAGTAGCACAGTAAAATGGTCTTTGCCAGGATTTTGAATAAGTTAAAGGAAAATGATGTAACACTTCTCAAAGCTTAAAAGTTGAAAGGAAAAGATATGGCATGTGACACTGTGGAGGCCTGTATAAGAGGTTTAGTTTTAAGCTTCATAAGGAAAAATACAGATCTTAGAGATGTTTTACACAATGATGTTACAAAGCCTGATCTTAATTTGTACAAATTGTGAAAAAAACACCAAGCCCACAACAGAACAGACTGAGTCAATTATTTTCAGAGACCACTGTCAGTAGTGATGGTGCCCAAGGTTGTATTCTACAGCTGTGTGTATTCCCTGATTACAGATCCTGCTCGAAAGCATGAACTCGTTTTTACAAACCTCAAGCCCATACTTTTACCCAGTGGGTTTTTACCATGGGGAAAATAAATTCTTCTTAATGACTCCTGAGGTTTCTTCACCCCATTATGTCGGTTCACATTGTTTATTTTAATTGATAGGCACTCATCAGCATAACATATGGTTGCCTACGATACCTTAGTTTGTTTTTTTTTCCCTTTCTCTACTTGCTTGTTTCTCATTCATAGCCTTATATATACTTACTCCGTTTATATGCAGCTTGGCAAAGTGTTAGTGATATACTATCATAGTTATTTTCACTGAGAAAAAAAAAAACTGTAATATCTATATTTGACGAAAGAAATATCCATTTTACAGAATTTTAGCAGGACTGAAAAAAGCTGAATGCATATGTACAGAGACACATAACTTTGTAAACTCCCAGCATGTAACAGAAAGCTTGCAAAGGAACTGCTATCAGATGACTGTGCCAACTTAAGGCCATGGCAAAAGTCTGTTTTCTTAGCCACTTTTATACAGATGCTTCTAGGGTGAGATGTTTAACTGCACACAGCTAGATCACATAGCAGGTTTGAAAACAATGTTTAAGAACCAAAGCGCAGAATGAATTATAGAGGAGCAAATTGTGTAAGTAGAACTGGAAATTATCCTGTATACCATGGCTCGCAATCTATTTGTGAGATGGGGGACTGAGTTCACTTGAGCAGAGTGAGACATTCATTAACTGATCAGAAATACCCAGCCAAACATTTATTGTAAAATAAATGTAAAGAGAACATAAAATAAATTTAATATAAACATAAAATAAACATAAAATAAATGACATTTAAATTTCATTTCCTGATTGCGGGCAGGAAGGTTGGAGCTGCTCCCTGCACCAGCTTTGTCCTCTGCCTCTCCTCCAGTGTGCGGGGAAACGGGTGCAAAGACATGTGGGTGTCCCCTACTGAAGTTACCCAATATCGACTGACATGGCCTCATTTGGGACGTTATGTCCATGCCACTCACTGGAACTGGAACTTCCTCTGTCTGGATTGAAGGAGCTGTGCCTGGCTCTTGCGCGCTCCTCCTCCACTAGTACTCCAGGGGACCAGAGAGTCTGGCCCGAATTTCTGAAGGACTCCAAGTGATCAGGACCTTCCTTGTATTACTCAAAATGGCAGCCTGTTGCCCTTCAACACTGTGCTTACCTCCTTCTGGATATGAAGTTTGAAGGAAAGAGGGCCAGCTTTTCAGTTCAGCAGCTTTCTTCCTCGACTTAGTTCATTGCTCTTTATGGTCACTCATCCAAGTGGAAAGGCCCTGCGGTTATGCATTACCGTGATTACAAAACTGAGCAAATGACTCTGGAATGAAAAAAGTGTAACAGAAAAGTTATGTGTAAAGTATATATAAGCTCGGTGTCATTCCCGTAGTCAAAATGTTCAGCAGGTCAGAACTATTCTTGAAATTTTATCAAACTTCATATGCAGTTTGTTCATCTGGTTTTAAATCCTGGATGGAAAAAAACTATTCTAGTTTAATTTGATTTCCTACTGTAGAAGAGCTGTCAGTGATGTTCCATCCCTTACCCTCACTCTCCCCCACCAGCTGTGTAGAGATTTCACTGATCTACACCATCCTTCAAAATGTGGCTGGTTTAGAGGGAGGGGAAAATGCATGGTTATGTCGAATGTGTTTTTGTACTGTTTGCTGGTAACATGTTTATAACCCTATATGTAAAAGTATTCAAATACTTGCATGTTTTCAAGCAGCTGAGCAGTCCCGTTTTTGTAAGTTTATCACATGCTTAAAGTGAATACATGCTTTCTTAAAATATGTGTTTTTGTGAAATTTCAATGAGCTCAAATTTTGCTGGAACATGGTCAAATCTTTTAAAACAATGTCTGTTTCTGTTTTTGCCCCCAAGGTGGACACCCATGGAAATATTTTGCTAACATCACTGGAAATGCACAATGAGGTGGCAAGCAATGAGGTCACAACCAGTGTTACTGATGCCAGAAATTCAACCATATCCTTTGACAGCTCAGGAATCCAGTACAGAAAACAAAGCTCACATCGCGAAAGCCTTGGAAGGCGCTCATCAGAAAGAACAGGCACCCACAGCAAGAGGACCCATTTACGAAGAAGGTCTTCACAACTGAAAATAAAAATCCCTGATCTAACAGATGTGAATGCCATCGACAGATGGTCAAGAATGGTGTTTCCATTCACATTTTCTCTTTTCAACTTAATTTACTGGCTATACTATGTTAACTGACTGACTGAACTTTTTTAAAGGACTTCAATTACAAGTGAAGCACTACTTGCCTGCAGAGAATATATATATTTATATATAAAAATATATATGAACTTTTACTGTGTAGAGAAAACTCATGTATGTGTGAATACATATATCACAGAATTGTGTGTATATGTAAGCACACTGAAAAGCAAAAGTATATATATGCACACATACATGTACATGTTCATTCTGAGGTTACGGACAATTTATCATAGAATGCACTTCAAAGGAACTTTTTACATTGAAAGGCAGATGTCGTCACAAGAACAAGCCTTGAGAAAGTAAGTGTTGTATATCATTACTACAAAATTTTGATTGTCATAGAAATTTTCAAACAAACAGCTGTAATGGTGTATATAGTCAGTATTTAGTAACATTGTTTGTAAATGCTGCCATACGCGCTAATCATAAAATGATAGCGATACATTGGTGAGTTTAAAATAAGGCATTTATATTGCAGATCCATCGACTGTAATTTCATCAAGCCAAATTTGTTTTTCTTTGCTAAAATGTCTTGGTTTTATATATGTTGTAATAGAATTTTTCCCAGTCATGAATGAGTGTCATTTTTTAGTGATCTCTTGCTTTCTCTCCAGCAGTAAGCAAGCTGATCCTAGGGGTGTTGCTCTAGGTCTTTGGAGACATATACATGTTCATCATATTTCAAACAAGCATTTTAAGTGTCCATCAACAGTGAAAAGAATCTTTTGTAAGTACTGTAAATGTGCAGCACATTTTCCTTCCCGTGGACTAATTCCAGCTGCCATGTCATTTTGAAAGAGAACAGCACATTTTTAGTGTAATTTAGCTGAGAATTCAACTACTGTCAATGTGTTCTACATCTGCTATAGATTTAAAGATTGTTATTGCAGTGAAAGCATAGAAGATGTCTCAGGTTATTTACTACTTCAATGTGAAACCGTCTAGATGTAGTCTTTTTTAAACACACATTCACATTATTTAACATTCTTATAACATTGTATGTTAATGTAAAATATGTTTGCATAATATGCATATATAAGTATATTTTCTCAATATTTTTCTTTTTTGTGCTTGCTATCGTGACCGCATGCTATGTCATATTTTTGTTTCTGTGATGTTACAAACTTTTTATTCTCTAGAATTGAGCAAATAGAGCACTTCTAAAACTTTGATTCAGTAATGGAGCATTTTCATATTTTATTTATATACTTACAGTATACACACGTACACTTATAAAACTAGTGTGCTGCAGTCACAAATCACAAAAGATAGCAAACAGTGTGTCTTGTTTCAACATTAACTGTGTTCAAAGATTTTCTTCATGTGAATATGGCCAGTTTTGTTTTCATTCCAGTTCGCTCCCTCATCAGGATTCTAACTTTTTCAGCCTAGTAGATTGTAGTTGTCAAGGTATACCAATTTCAAATCTGTAAAACTTAATTTGTTATTTATCACCACTGAACCTTTCTAAAGAAAAGAAGATATATTTTTTGTAAACAGTGTTTCTACCATGTACGCTCACAAATAACAACAGATACAGTAGCATGAATAGATCTAAAAAAAAAAAAAAATTCCAGGTGTGGCCCTGCCAATTCTCTGCATGTAGAATTCCTGTGGAAATCAATGGGAATTTTTGGCAGATAGAGAGCTTTGAATGCTAATAGAGACATCTGCGGGAGAAAAATGTGTGGATATGCATCTATCAAAAAACCCCAGATGGGATGAAACTGGGAAGGCTGCCTTGGCTCTGTAATGACCTGTATTCTCAGTAGTACCTGATTTATCTGGGAGTAAAGCAGTGACACTTGCGCTGCTGCGGCATACAGTCTGTTGTTTCCATCCTCGACTGTTCGCAACTGAACTGTGAAACTTCCCTCTGGGCTGAAACTCAGCGTAGAACATCTTGCGTTACAAAGTTGTTGTAATCCCAGCCTTGGGGTTGCTTCTTGAACAGCAGCGCGCACCACACTGTTCTGCCTTGCAGCAAAACTGCAATGTGATCCCCAGCCTGGAGCATTTACAGTAACCCCAGATGCCAGCGCGTGCAGGATCAGCACCGCAGTCCTGCTGCATCGCTGGCAGTGGTGCAAAGCACCTAAGACTGCAGTTTTCAAGCGCTGCGTCTGCAAACAACTATACAGTATGAAGAGCCTGAAAGAAATCCGTATAGCTGGAACAGAAAAAAACGTTTTTTGAAAGCTCCTCAGTATTAGCTCCCATTGGTAAACCGTAATATATTACAGGGTTGCTAATACCTTTTCAAACTGTGAAGGGATTATAGAGCACATTGTTATCATTATAATCAAAGTAATTAAACAATTCACCCCCTCCCGAAGTACATATTTAGTAGAATTGTTAAAAAGCCTTCCCGAGATTTTTTCTTAATATCAAAATATAATTAAAAAATTTTAATTTTAAAAAACTTACAACCTGTAGCTTTTATGGAGAAAAATTACCTTCATAAAATGATCTTCGAGGAAGTCTTTCAGTAAGTGCTCTGAACACCTATGCTGAAAAATGGGATTCAAGACGACAGTGGTCTCATGCTCACGATTTAATCACGGTTCTCGCTTTTCTTGAAGTCCTGGCTCCTGGAATCCTGTGCTCAGGCATGGATCTTTAACAGCAAGGAGACTATTTTAGTTGTGATTGATGGAAATGTGTATTCTGGATCCTGTTGAAGTCATCAGTGACTTCAGTCAGGATTTTCAAGTAGATGGGAAAATTATAGTCTTGCCTGAGTAAAGAAGCAGTACACATTTTCAGGACCCAGGAATGTGCAGGAAAACAAACAGGGTCTCTGAGGACGCCCCCTGTGCTCCCCTTTGCACAACTGGAGGGAGGCATGTTACTGCATCCCCTTTCATGAAGCAGTACTTTACACCACCACCTTCTCCTCTCCTTGCCAAAAATAGGCAATTGGACACTTCAGCTTTTTCACAGGATTTCATGTTCATGAGTCCAGCCGAGTTCCACGGGACACAGAGAGCTTGAACCTTGAACAGATACAGCTATGGGTTTGACTTGAAAAAAAGCCGGGAAATTGCCACTTAAGGTTAACACTCCATCCTTAACACACACTTTTGTGCCTTTTTTGCCAATTCCCTTCCTCCAGTCCCTGCACCACTTCTTACACACAGATGGACACACAACCATGTGTTAAGAATAGTGTTTGCCTTGATCTCTCATTTTCTGGCTATTGTCACTTTATGCTAACTGCAGTGTATGATTTTAACTATAGGTGGCTTTGAGACTAAAATGGTAATTCCAACCAAATTGCGCCAGAGTAATGTATTTCATAGCTAATTAACTCATTTCTAACTCACACTACTATAAATAACATTTACACATCATTTGTTTGTGAAAGGCATTAAAGAAAACTGGAATTAGCTTGTGTTGTGTAGCCCAAAGGGTCAATAAACAGTAGAAATATGATGGTGGTTTAACTCCGAGTTGATTTCATCCCATTGTAAAGATAAACTAAAACCCAGTCCTTTTTGCTTACGGCACATTTCTGTATTTTTGGTATTCTTCAGCAATGGAAAAAAAAGGATAGTAAAATGGAATGATGAAGAGATGCTTTATGAAAATATTGATGAATGAATATTCATTTATTAAAAAGGGTTTAAAGATTAATTGCTTACTTTTTTATTTGTTTTCTGGGGATGCGGGGGGATGATGACTGTATTTTGCTAAATTTTAATGTTTATTTAGCTTTTAAATGTCATGTGATGTCATATACAATTTAAAAAAAGGAGATGAAAATATTTTCAAATTGATTAACAAGAGAAATAGGATTTATTAAGCCTGAATTTACTATATTTCCTAGTATTTTCTGTTATGGGGGAAGGAAGAGGGGAAAATTACATCCACTGACTTGGCAAGTTTCTTAATGGCAAACCAAGCTTTCTTCAGTCTGGGGTGTTACCTGTTAAAAGTAGAAAGTTTGTCTTTTACTTTATATGATCTCTACCAGTCCAGGACACAAAAGAGCTTTTGATATCCAAATAAGACAGTGCTAGCCTGTTTATTTCTTTCATTCATAAATGAAAGCCCACCCGTTCTTCAACTATGCTAATTGTGTCAGGAATGCTAATTGTGTTCATTACACTTTTTATTACTAGCTGTTACTAAGTTATTTTAGAGGAGTCGGGATACTGATAGATTCCAATAGGGGTTTCTAAGGTCATCTTGTTAGTAGTATAGCAACCCCATTCCTCAAAAACAAAAAAATACCCTGAAAAACCCTCTAAAAACAAAAGGCCATTCAGAAAGCAGAGTCTGTAAGCCCAGTTGTTGTGTTTTGCATTAGAACAAGCTGTCATGCACTTACTTAAATCTTACAGTGTCTAATGATACATGACAAAACTTTAAATAGTAGATAAAATATTCAGCACAGTAGAGTTGATTGCAAGGCCTTTGAAGTCAACAGAAGACTCCCTCTGACTTTAGCAAGTTTCTGCTTAGTTCTATCAGCTCTTCCCAGATTATAGGCAATATCAATAATCTATCTATTTCAGTCCAGCCTATATTATCATATAGCATAGTTTTGTTGCTGGGAATAACTGGTCAGAGATATATTTCGTTGTGTACTTTGGAGCTGATGTACGGATAAATATTATCAATTAATTGCTTAGACACCACTTATTCCATTAAAAGACTTCAAGTGCTATTAGAAATGATTGGATATTTTCCCAACATAAAAATGGTTCTTAGTATCAAGACTATTTCCATAACTGTTGATTTTACTGTCACAACTGTCACAACAGCAAACGCTGCCGGCAAAAAAATCCCAGTGAAAAATGCTAGCAGAAGAACGAGGACACACAGCTGAAAACTAAACGAAAAGTAGTGGGAATCCTAAAACTTCTCTGAATTTTTTTGAACAAAGACAGAATCTCTCATAAGTGATTCAAAGGGTAATTCAAACTCTCCTTCAAATACACGATCTGAATTTTTCTAAAATTATTTCATTTTCTGGATGTTTCATTTCTGTGGTTCATATGGCTTTTGCAGGCCGAATCTGTGGAGTCATCTGTGTCTCCTGAAAATCCAACCTTTTGGCAGCTTACCAAACATACAGCATCGCTTGTCACACTTGAAAACTAAAGACATAGGGGTGCAATATATAATAGTACAAAAAGAACAACTACTGTCCTTAAAATCACCCAGAGTTTAAATTCTGGGTATATATTATATATTAGCTGTTCTTAGGTAAGGCTTAAGCAAGTGCAATATTTATAAAGGGGTATTGGTCTGGGCGATGTACGTTACCTTTGCAATGTGCTATTGCAGTATGCCTTTGTCCCAGCATTGCAGCCTAATTCAGGTTTTGGATTTTTTCTCCCTTGGAATCCTGAGAAAACAGAGAAGATGACTGCTCGGGACAAATTTGCCACTCTGGGGTACTTTCAGAGAGGGGCAGGGTGAGCACCTCCCTGGGTTTTCTCTCAAGCCTAGAGAGTGACAGACCTAAAGAGACCTCCCAAAGGCCATTCAGATGCCTGCTCCAAATCACTCTGCTGAGGCACTAATCTCTCTTGACTACAGAGGGAGCCTTAGGCTAAAATGTGCAAATTATCCCCCAGCTTACCACGAGCAGTTTCAGGCTTTTTGATGTTATCGCTCCTGCTGCAAAAACCTGGAGATAAAGCAGCTATTATCCTAGCCGGCTGGAGGCACAAAGGCAAACAGCATGGGTACTTGAGGCTATGATATATTACGGTAAGCTTCAGGCTATTCATTCTAATACTGTATTTAAATATATTTCCCTTTATGCTGTAGCTTTTGGGTGTTAGCACGGTTGTTTCCAGGTGCTGATGGCTTTTGTGTGTATACGCTTGGGAGTATGGGGCAGAGCATGGGGAGTTTTCTAACGGCTTTAAACCAGTTCTGTAGGACACTTTTGGCCTTCTCTGTTACATCCATACCACAGGTCAGAGTTTACATTACCACTGTACTAGGTTGACCACCCATCTACAGGCTACCACAAGCTCAAGCCTACAGAAGTGCTGCCAAATGTTTATTTCTCTCAGCCGCCCCAGCAGACCTACCAACATTAAATACTCTGCTTGTTGGAAAACGTTTCGCAGATTAGAGGCTGCATTCATCAAACAACTAACTGCTGCTCTACACTTCCTCCATCTAAAATGCCAGTACTGCCACTAGAGACCCCATTTTCCCATCCTTTGAAGATTAGTAGAAAAAGGGGAAATTTGCAGGCTGTCAGGCAATTAAGAGTCCCTCCGTACATCCAGGCTTAAATTTTGCTCCAGGTTATGCACTAGTCCACAGGGACAGAAGTAATTTAGTACAAAATTCTTCCTGGCTAGGTCTTCTCTTAAGAGTCTGCACTCCCAGAAGCCATTAACGTAGGCATATGTGAAGGTATTTAAAATTATTAGCAATGAGGTCTTTCCGTCTTTTTTTTTCTTTTTTTTTTCCCAAGGCTATTTAATGTGAAATGCACAAATTATTGTGGGAGCAGGAACCAGCACCCAGGACTCTCCTAGTACACACAGCCAGCGGACTAGATTGGAGTCAGGCACTTGCGCGCCTTGTGGTTTTGAAGATGATTTCCTGGCTGAGCAGCTGGACATTCCCAGTTCAACCTCATCAGCCAAGGATATGACCTAGACTATCCATCTCACAAGTGCTCTAGGCATTAGCCTACAATGTAAAAAGTGGGCAAAAACACTTCAAATAACTGCATCTTAAAAGCTGAAGCCTCCTGTCATGGAAATGTTTTGGGTCCCAAGTAGTAACAAGTGCCTTCCAGGCACCAGATTCTCCATAAGCTTGTATTTGCAGTTTTTCCTCTTTGTATTTCTTATTTCTGAACGACTACGGACTGAACGTTCTGCTTGGTTTGGTTTGCCGTTCAGAGCTGTTAAATTCTCCCGTCTGCTGCAGAGGGACAAAAGGGCCCAAATTTGTTTCATCTCATATTGCACATTTAACTGAGGTGTCGTGGCTAGTCCCTCAGTCATTGTAGACCATATTTATAATCAGTGGAAATAAAAACTATAATCATCCCTAGGACTATTTAAAGCCCACATTTTGGAATTCCAAGCCAATATTTTTAGCGTTAATTCTTTTAACAGTTGCAAAACCAGCTTCCAGAGAAACTTGTGTGAGATCACAGAGGGAACTGTGTGCACAGCAGCGCTGCTGCAAGGCACTTGGTAGCTGCAGCTGGAGTTGCAGCAGTTTGCACGTGGCAAGGAGCGCAAGAGAGCTAAGCAGAGCTGTTCTCACAGCAGGCTGAGAAGCCAACAGATCAGCTACGTAAAGAGTTTCCTGAGAATCAGAATTGCTGCAGGTCTTCCTGGCATGGCATAACCGGGCTGGGTTTTTCCCAGAGAAATGGAAATAATTCCTACCGTTGCCTAGATTTATAACTTTTGGGACTAAAGTATTTCATCTGCAGCTAACAGATCTTTCATGCAGAGAGCCTGTCATGCAAATGATCCCATATCATGATCAACACTGTCCCACTCACCTCTCCTTTGGTATGTGTGCTAGTCTAAGTGGGGATCAGTGAGAGCTAAATGCAGGCTTACAACTTTGACTTGACACTCAGGACCACGTTGGCTGTTGTGAAATAACTTCTGATTGCCTAGTGAGATCAGAAAACTGTGACATGACTTCATGTGCAAAAGGGAACAGTTCCCACACACATTTTCCCGTGAACTTAACTCTTCTGACTTTGCTTATTCCAAGCCAAAAACTCTTGCCTCATTAGCACTTTTTTCAATTACCGTTAAGTTTTTCATCATTTAATGGGAAGCAGTTGGAGTTTGTGTTGGTTTGAGTTACTAAAAATGCAATACTCATTTTCAGTAGGAAAGTAATTAATTAGCAGAATTAATGTATATACAACTGAACATAACACAAAGTATTGTGAAACAACGTAAGGGATTGCAGTGAAACAACCTAAGGAATACCCATAACCTGCTATTACTATTTGAACGCTATTCTGTCCGCAGTTACATTTGCAAAGTATTCTTAGTTTATAATGACACTGATTAGATATTCTATACAGCCACTTAATACAGCATTCATCCATGTATCTCATTTACTGTGACAAAGCAGTTTTTGGTTAAGCCAGTGCTGGAACAATTTCCTAATGACCTCAGTGGTGCTAAATTTCTCCTGATCATCATTTCTTGCAGACCTGTAGCATTCTGAATGCAGATGACAGTTTTGACATTCACAAAGATGTAGGTTTAATTATCATCTTGATTACTTGAGCTGGAAAGCCAGATGCCTAAATATCATGAAAGGTCGAGTAGAACAAATCCTGATAGTTGGTATCTTTTGATATCAGAAACATTGCTTGAATTGGAAGATGACTTAAAAATAGTAGCAAGTAATTGGAAAATCACAGGCTTTTGCCTTTGCACGTTATTATTGCAAAAAGATTTTGTTTAAACAAGAATCTGATGCTAAAGATGCAGGGATTCAAGCTGGAGTACTAAAGACAGGTAATTTACCTCAAATAACAGAGAACAGGAAAGAGAAGTATGCAAGATGCTTAAGATTATATATAAAGAATCGTAGTTTTTCCCAGTGTCCCATGGTAGGTAACACTTTATTGCTGAGAGACTCACATAAAA